TATACAGTTCCTGCATTCGCACGATCTGGAAGGTAACGGATTCATATCTCAATTAAGCACTATAAAACATCCTTCAATCTGATTAAGCCTACTTATCCAGAGGTTCACCGGAATATAGCAGTTATCCCAGGCAGAGGGAGGTCGTCTTTGAAGACATTAATCATGCATTTGCGCGAACCAGTTTTGGTTGCTGACTCATTGCTTCCCCTTTGAATGAGGCAGAAATGGGAAGGTCGGAATGATGAAATCAGTGGAAGAGTGAGAATAGAGAAATTAAAAGGTTGCGAGGATACTGAGTAGATGCACTAGCGTCACGGATGATGACACTCAGTCATATCACTCAGTAACACTGACCACTTATTGCAATGATACCTAGATCCCGATCCAGGAAGTCTATGCGAGCGAGTCTCCTGGTCTGTTTAACCACCTATGACTTTTTCACCCATCACCTATATCGACAAACAGCACGTGTCATGGCAATCTATTTCGTGACATGCGCCCCAACCAACGAAGTCAAAGGATGTCGACCATTTGCTCCAGTGGACGACCGTCATTACCCAAAACTATAAGCCTAACCTAAGCATTGCTCATCCGGTTATCCCACCGGATCATGCAATGCGACGTGTACAGCGGCGTTCGAACACCGATAGTCTATTTGTATTCTGTTTTCGTAATGGTCAGAGCCACTTTCCGAGGTGCACAAACACAGGTGAATAGAAAAACCCGGGTGTTTATTCAACCCCCCCCCCCCGCTCCAATTCCACTTGAATGTGTTATTTCTACTTGTCAACGCACATAAAATGGAGATTTGTGTTTGAAAAACTAAGCTTGTAACATTGGACCCTGAGTGGATGAGCTGGTTGGTTCGCTACTTTCGTGGTTAATCGGTCGTGCATTATACTACGGTTCAACAAATTTCACGTAGGGTTTTCCACTACTTAATGAAACTCAGACAGAATCAACGAAGAGACGCGTATACAAGTTTGATATCGGATAGTTCTCATATCGAACAATTTAAGACCAAACCAACTTAAAGAACTATTAATAGCCAAGGTTATCCGTGGTCAAGAAAACTTACTTGAAAATGCCACGCCACCCCACGATTGTAATGAAAATTCGGTTCCAGCGCCACAATGCGATCTTTGGCCGCTTGCGCGTAGGCCGCGATGCAACGGGTCATGATCAACTGCGAAGATGTCAGCTGACCACCGCGCGGACTTGCCCCTGCGCCCTCGGCCGATTCGGACTTGGTTGTAGACAGACTGGTAGTGTTTGGCGGAGCAGCAACCGAACCCCAACTCTCGAAAAATGCAGTGAGCAAGGCGTTTCCCAATACAGACCAAGCACGTCCGTCCGTGGGTTTGAAACGAACAGCCTGATGCGCAAGTTGCAGAGACTCACTCAGAGCACTAGTTGGAGTCGCTGCTGTTTCCCTGAGAGGGGGCGGTGTGGAGGAATCCGTGATGCCAGCGGAAGATGTCCTAATTTGTGCGTTTGATTTGTCCCTAATCGAC